TTTCAAATAACAGAAAGGTAAAGAATGCAGACTCTGTTAGTGCAAAGGTTCTAAGACCAAAGGGAGTTCAAGTTCTTGCTGGAGGGCTCCAATGTATTTATTTATTTATAGACAAGAAAATGCAGATTATCAGAGAGCAAAGGAGAAAAGAAATCAGACCACTACAGGCCGTCAGTCCCATGAGTATGACTATGGCTCACATCAGTTCCATCTGAGTATTTCTCATTTTTAAACGTCCCTGAGCTCCTGAACTCCCAACACAGGCTAAATACCGCTTCGTTTTCCCAGCAGTTTTCTCTGACCCCTGTTTTTATTCAGTAAGGCTGAAATGGGTTATCCCATCAGTAAGACCTTGATTTTGACAAGTTGTAACGTGGGGCATTTTATATGCATGCTGTGAACTATCTTAATGAATGGAAATTAAATCAAGTTTGTCCAATTAAGGGAAGAAAGCAAATGATCATTTTCATGATAATTCATTTTTTTTTCATTTTGATCATTTAAACAATTCAGTTTAATTAGTATAAAACTCTTACCCAACTCCTGGCCTGATTAGTGTTGTCAGGCTATGAAGACCAGAAATTTGTTGGAAAGTTGGCATGAGTCTCCTCCAGATACAGTAGTTCAAGGAAGTGCAGCAGCTTCGGTGATGAACAGAATCATAATTCCCATCCCTGTGATTAGTTACAGACCATTTGCCAAACCACGCGTCTGGGAGGACCTCACCCAAGTCCGCGAGGGGTAGTATGGGTCATGGTGGCCCCGGTGGTTTCGTCTGTCTCTCAGATTTCTATGATGCTAACATTTCTGTGTTGGTTATGGAGAAAGTATAACCATGTGGCTGTGGAGAACTTTAAAGGGGAGCTTGTATATGATTTTGGGTCCACAGAGCTTCAATACTTCCTGAAAGCCTTGTTCTGGAAGTAGAAGAGCGCTTTTCTGAGAGCCATAGAGTATCCAAGAGTGAGCTACATTCAGCTTCACCTCTGTAAAGATCTTCATCCAGTGTTTCCAAGATTTTAGCTATATCCGTGCCTCCTTCATTCTTACCTCCCTCAGTCTCCTCTCTCTCACTGAGAAAACTTATGTCATTCAGTATCAGCCTCACAACTACCTTCATACCACCCAGTCTGTCTCCATTTCTTTGCAGTTTTCTCTTTTCCTCTAACTTACTGTTCCTCTTTTCCAAGGCCAACTCTTCCGTGTGAGCTAGGGGCCCACCGCCTGGTTCTTAATTCAGAATTTTGCTCTAGTCTGTTCCTTCTTTTAATTTCTGACTCTCCCTCACAGTTTTTACATTCTCACCGCCCATGTTTACTTTCTCCCTTTTATGTTTTCCTATATTTCTTTACAAAATATTCTGGGATACAGAAAGCAATAAAACAAACACCCAGGCAATGAAGAACAATGCTGCAAAATAGAAACTTCTGGTGTGTACACGCCAGGGCTCCTTTACAACAGGTGCCCAAAACATAGATTATTAAATTGTCTAGTACGTGTATTTCAACTTTACTATGACGTGCCAAGTCGCCCTTCCAAAGTGGTTGTACAGATTTACTCTCTGCATGAATACCTGTTTCCTCCTGACCTCACCAACACTTAGTTTATCTGGCATCCCCGTGTTTGCCAATGAGTATGAAATAGAATCTCACCTTTGTCCTTTCCCTTCTTACTTGCAACACTGGAGCATCTTTTACATGTTTATTCGCCATGCATATTCTGTTAGTTGCCTTTGTATATAGTTTGCGCTTTGGCTCTTAGGTTTTTTGTCTTTTTCTTATGGATTTGTAAGAGTTCTTTGTCTATTCTGGATACTAACCCTTGGCTCATTACATGGGTTGTAAATGTTTTTTGAAGTCTGTATCTGATTTTTGCCGTGCTGCTTAGTCTAAATGTTGTAAAACTTAGTCTTCTTATGTTTTGTGATTTTTGTGTTTCATAAATTTTGTCCTATCCAGCACCATACAAATAATCTTTTGTATTTTATCTTTGGAATATTACTGTTTCATATTCATGTCTTTAATCCACTTGGAATATGTTTTTGTATTGTGTTCTAATTTTATTTTTTTGATATTAGTATTGAATTACCTAACATCACTTACTGACTTGCTCATTCCTTGTCTGCGCACTGATTTTTAGTATGAATTTTCTGTTTATATCTGGGTCTGTTTCTCAGCATTTCACTCACTTTTCCATTTATTTACCCACGTACCAATTTCACATTGTTTTAACTAACATAACTTTATAAGGAGACTTGCTATCTGAGAGGGCAAAACCCCTTCCTATTCTTTACAAGCATCATGGCCATTCTTTACCCTTTGCTCTTCCATATAAATTTTAGAATACGATTGTCAGGACTGAGAAAGAAACCCAATTTGACTTTTTTCTTCTTGGAATGGCATCTTTGTGATACTGGTAATACTGAGTCATCCACCCATGAACACAGTGTTTCTCTCCATTCGCTTTGGGTTTCATTTATGCCCTTCAATATAGTATGTTACAGTTTTTACATCAAAATCTTGCACATCTTTTATATATTTATATTAAAAGCCTGCCTTATAGTTTTTGTTGGTATTCTAAATAACTTTTAAAATAACACTTTTTGCTGAAGTGCAGAATTGCCATTTTACTTCCAGTATTGCTTTTATATCCAGCAAACTTGTTGCTGAACACACTTATGAACTCTGATTGCTTATGTGTATATTCTCTTAGATTTTTCTATGTAGAAAATTAGATTTTGGTAGTAATAACTTTATTATTTCCTTAACTATCCTATACATTTTATTTCTTTTCCCGGCTTTTAGCATAGTCTAAGACTTCAGTGTAATCTTGAATAAAAATCATTAACAGTAGTCATGCTTGTCTTTCCCCTGATTTGAAAGAGAATATTTTAGTGTTTTGCCAGTAGATATGATGCTTGCTCTGGGTCTGTGATAGATATCTATTATCAGGTTAAGAGAAATCTCATTTATTTCTAGTTTGCTGGCAAACTAAATTTTCAGGAATTTTGCACATCTGTTTTGACGGTCATATTGTTTTACTTCTTTAATCCCTTAATGCAGTGAATTGTTTTCATAGATTTTTCTAATATTTAACCACCCTTACACTTCCAGGATAAACCCTAATTGGTCATCATATATTTATTTTTATATATTTAGTTCAGATTTTTAAAAATGTATCCATTATATACTGCCTGATTAATATGCTAGTTTATCTAGCTTTCAGAATTTTGCCAATCTGGTGAAAAATAATAATTAGGCATAGTTTCAAAGTACACTTCTATTACTATGAGTGAGGTTGAGTGTCTGTTCTAATGTTTGCCAATTTGATTTGTACAAACAGAATATTAGCTAGACATAGTTTTGGTGTACATTTCTGATATTGCAAGTGAGGTGAAGCATTTGCTTTTATGTTTAAGAGACAATTGTATTTTCTATACTGTGAACGACCTTTTTGTATCCTTCACCCCATTTACTATTGAATTATTGCCCTTCTCCTTTTTTGCAAAGGTTCTTTACATATTAAGGAGATTAACTATTTAACTATAATCTGTTAAACATATATTTTCTTCCTGCCTCCCCCTCCCTTTTTTTTTTTTGGTGAGATTATTTTAGTTCTACTCCCTTTATAGTCACATGTTATACATTAGATCCTCAGACCTTGTTCAGCTTACAAGTTTGAACCCTTTTACCAACCTCAGCTCTCTGTTTCTATGAGTTTGACTTTCTTTTAAATTCCATACAGGTGACACCGCACAGTGTTTATCATTCTCTGTCCGGTTTATTTCACTTGGCATAATACTCTCCAGGTTCATCCATGCTGTTGCAAATGACAGGATAGTCTTCTTTTTTAAGGCTGGATCATATTCCATATTTTTTTGATTCACTCATCCATCAGTTGACACTTAGGTTGTTTTCAAGCCTTGGCTATTGAGAATAATGCTGCAGTGAACATGGGAGTGCAGGTGTCTCAAGATAATGGTTTTGTTTACTTCAGGTATATACCCAGAAGTGGGATTGTGGGATCATATGGTAGTTTTGCTTTTAACTTCTTGAGGAACCTCCATACTGTCTTCCATGGTGGCTGTACCAGTTTACATTCCTACCAGCAGTGTACGAGGGCTCCCTCTCCTCCACATCCTCATATTTTCTTAATTGGTTCTTTGGGTTTCACTGTTGTTGTTATATTTTGCCTATGGTGTTTTCACCATGCAATTTTTTATTTTTATGTAAAATATATATTTATATTTTTATATATAATTTGTCAATTTATACAGGTCAAATTTACCTGTCTTCAAAAGATATCTGTTTTGAGTTATAGTTAGTACTTCCCCACTCAGCAGTTATAAAAGTATTTCCCTCATTTTTATTTTTTATAGTTAAATCACTGATCCATTTGTAATTTATCCTAGTGTACAGAGAATATAAGGATCCAACCATAATTTTTATTCAGATCCTCGCTTCCCTAATACCATGTATTGACTAGTTCCTCTTCCCCACCGATTTAAAATGTCATACTTACACTAAATCCAGTGAAGCCATCCCTGCTATCTCCCTTCCTTCTCGAAAAGAAAGTGAGGCTTGTTCTTCTTAAATATGTGGACTTACCTGTATTTTTCTCATGGACCTTTCACCCATGCCCTTGTAGCCATTTTATATCTAACTTATTTTTCCTGCTAAATGTTAAGCTCCTCGGGAGCACAATTTCTGCTAAAGTAGTTAATAAATAAATTCTTTAAGCCAAAGACAGGTGAAAGCACTTGTGCTACAGCTGCTGACCCAGGACAAGAGGGCGCCATCCACCCTGTTCCGTTCACCCCGTCTCATTGCCCTGCCCAGGGTTTGGAGTAGATACGGTGTCTGTCCAGTTCCAGCAGCAAGAGTGGTGGAACACAGCCTAAAACCCAAAGGCCCTGTGTGCCAAGTTTAGGTGACCTCTCGGGCCCAACAGCACCCTGCAGAGATGCCGCAGCTGCCCATCCATGCTCTGTTTCTCCGCAGGAGAGATCCCAGAGCTCTACTCTGACGATGAAGTGGAAAACATCATAAGCAACGTGAGGAACGAAGTCAAGAGCCGAGGGCTGGTTGACAACACAGAGAACTGCTGGAAGTTCTTTATAGATCGGGTCCGACGACAGCTGAAGGTACAGGAGGACTTGCCGCCAGGGGAGGCAGGGCCGGAGATGGCACATGGGGGCTTCTCTGAGTATTCTGGCCACAGCCATCTGTATCGATTGTCTGGGGCGTGGGTGGCAAGGGGGCAGTGCCCTTCTCAGCCTGAGCCCCTGTGCAGGGATGCCCTTCTCCCATGCTTCGTGGGCAGTGGGCTCCCTCTCCCTTCGCACAGTCCCAGCATCTCTGCTCTCTTGGCTAGAGAGGCCAGCTAGCATTTACAGATTTTTGTCTCCAATGATGTGCTTCCCAATTTTCTGGCAAATAAGGAATCCAAAGCCATGCTGTGTCTCTGTAAGTACTTCTTTGATACCTTCTTGGCGCTCCCCACCCTGCTGTCTTCTCAGGTGACTCTCTGCTTCTCCCCTGTGGGGAACAAACTGAGGGTCCGCAGCAGGAAGTTCCCCGCCATCGTGAACTGCATGGCCATCGACTGGTTCCACGAGTGGCCACAGCAGGCGCTGGAGTCGGTCAGCCTCCGCTTCCTGCAGAGCTTGGAGGGCATTGAGGTGAGAGGGAGGAGGCGCCCTCAGGACCCCCTCTGCCTCAGGGTACGGGGGTCCCCACACCCGGCACTTTGGGATCATTGGAGCATAGCTTTCCACATGGTGAGGGCAAGCTGGGTGGTTGTCACCTCCAGTCTGCACGGAGGGGTGACCTCCTCATTCCCTGCTCTTTGCTCTTAGCCCACCGTCAAGCCGTCCATTAGCAAGTTCATGGCTTTTGTGCACACAAGCGTCAACCAGACCTCCCAGTCCTACCTGAGCAATGAGCAGCGCTACAACTACACGACCCCCAAGTCGTTCCTGGAGTTCATCAGACTCTACCAGAGCCTGCTGCACGGGAAGCGGCGGCAGCTTGAGGGCAGAACCCAGCGGCTGGAGAGCGGGCTGTGCAAGCTCCACGGCACCGCCACCCAGGTGAGCGGGCCCGCGGGCCCCGCCCAGGCCGAGGGTCACGCCACGGGACCGCGGGGTCACCGTGAGACGTG